AAGCCCAGGAGGGACTGAAATGTCCATAGGGTCCAAAGCCCCTGCTGCAGAGTATTGGAGAGACTTGGCCTTGGGACGTCTCAGGCAGACCCTCTGCTGTGTGCCCGGGCAAGGCGCTTGGCCTCCCTGCACCTCGAGTGTGCTCCTCTGTAAAATGGGGATAATGGACTTGATCCCACCTGGTTGTGGTGACTTCAAAGTGGGACCATGCAGGCATCAGACAGCAAGTGCTTAATAGACATGGTCTGTCTTGGAGAGGCCACCGTTTCTATGGTGGAGGCCCGAGAGGGCTTGATTGTGGTTCCTGTGGTTGCAGGGTACTGGAGTAAAAGGTTGTGGGGCTTCTAGCGGGAGCACAGGCTTGTGAGGGAGTCACTGCAACAAGAGCGGCCGCTCTGCACCCTTTGCAGGGAGGGTGCTTCTCTAACAAGAGGGTCTGGTCCTCCAGTGTCTGCTTGGGAGAAGGAGGGAGCTTCTTGCCCAGGGATCAACTGGAAGCTGGAGCCCAGACTGGAAAGCTGAGCAGCCTCCACTGCAGTCACTGGCCAGCCCACCCAGGCTGGCTCTTCTCAGGGTGCTGGGCCATCCCCTCGGCTTCCCGAAGTACTGGGCAGTCAGCACCCCACAGGTGCTGTGGCTGGGGTTGGGGTGGGGGTGGGAGGAGGGCAGTCGGGCTCTCAGGCTGCTCAAGGTCACCCCCTGACTGGGCGGCCATACTCGAGGCCACGGCCCCCACGCCCCTGCCTCGGAGCCACCGATCCCACTTCACAGCCGGCCCACCGGCCCACCCACGTGCCCGAGGCAAATGGTTGGGTTCAAATCTGCCCACATCTGCCGCCAAGACCAAGCAGGTCCAACGCCCGCCAAGCCACGGAGTTGAAACGCTCCCAAAGGACGAGCCCAGGCCCAGCCTCACCCTGGAGCTAGAGGATGCGCTGGGGCTTGCTGGTCGCTTGGCGACCCGGGAGCCCAGCGCCTCGCCCGGGCTGCCCTCCCCTCCCCTCCCCTCTCCCCTCCCCTTTGGTCAGCCTTCCATCCTAGGGGCTGAGTGCCCTTACAGCCGGTACATGGAGGGCTAGGAGGGCCCCTGGACCCGGGGCGGCCTCCTCACTCACACCAGGCCAGAGCATGGAGCATAAGGTCTGGGCACCTTGCAGGGGCTGGGGCGGGTGGCTCGGGCTGGCTCCCAGGCAGCAGGGGCACGTAGGAGGCCCTTTGTCCAGAAGCGAAGTTGCAGGCTTGTACCCAAGTCACCAAAACGAGTGCAGAATGGGAGAGGAGACCCCGAGGTTCGGGGAGCAGGTGTTCAGAGGTGGGCCAGTGCCTGCATTTCCGTAAACAAAGAAACTGGGCAGCTCCTTCCAAGAACCAGGGGGTGGAGGGAGGCTGCTAGGAAAATCGCCGACAATTTCCTTCATAAAAATGCGATCTGAGATCATTTGATTTCCACTTTCACTCCCCCCTGCCCCCGCCCCAACACACGCACTGTCTCCAAAGACACTCAAATTGCAGCCATATGGGGCTAAAGTAATAGGAAGCAGTTACCTTATTTACTGCAGAGGCCGCGCATTCGAACTTGGCAGCCTCGGCCAAGGACCGCTGAGTGGTGGGACTAAGAGCCGAGGCTTCTCCAGCTTTGAAAGTTTGTTTTGGGTATGCCCAGGAGGTGCACGTGTAACTTTAAAGGGGAGAGACGTTGTGTGGAGGGAAGAAAGGAGGTGTGGAGAGCTGAGTGATGGAGGAAGAGAGGTTTTCGGGAGGAAATGTGGGGCGAGGGACGCCTCCCCTTGGTTTCTAAGACATGCCAAGGGTTGACGAGTTTGAAAAGACCGTCGGAAATCCTCCAGAGTGACGCCTCCGCTGTCCCCACGCTGGTGCCCTCTCCTGGCCCACACAGGCATCGCTGGGCCTCCACCCGGATGGCCCAGCTCTGGGCGGCTCTAGAGTACAAACCCATTTCTCAGATGGCTACCTCTCAGTCTGAAAACCGTCAGAGCAGGGGTGGAGGGGGCAGTCCAGACCACCCGGTGACCTGTGTCTACACTCTGTGTAACCCTGCTCTCTCGCAGACACCCCTGCCCCCCCCCCCCCCCCCCCGCCCCCGGCGTTGCTTTCCTCCTCAGGACTGAGTCTGTCTGGTGCAGACAAGAACCGGGCTTGGTCTGGTTGCTCTCAGGTTATTCTTTATTTCTTTCCTTCTGGATCAGTCCCACCTCGGCTGTGGGCTCTGCAGGAATTCCTGACGCTTCACAAGCGGTAATTTTGTTCAGAACAAGGGTGTTCACCAGAGACATGAAGACAGGCAGAAAAATGCAGCGGGGAAGCAGAGAAGACGAAGGAGAAGAAGGAAGAAGGAAGAAGAAGAAGAGCCAAATACCCTTCCAGAGGAGGGAGCCGTGCAAAGCAGTGGCAAGGTTTTCATTTCTCCACTTCACACTTCGGAGGCATTTAGGGCAAGTAGAGAGAGAAGGGGAAAGAGAAGAAGGAGAGGAAGAAGAAGGAAGGGAGGGAGAGAAAAAAGGAAAGTAGAGAAACGCCAGGAGGGAGGAGGAAAACGCAGTCTCTCAGCGTGAAACTGAAACCTTCGACCTCTGCACGCCTCAGGCAAACTCCGAGGCCGTAAAGGCACCCAGCGAAAACACACTCCGGGGACGCGGCTGCAGAAACCCAATCTAAAGGGAAACCCCCGCTCTTTGCGGGCGCAGGAAAGCTTGGGAGGGGTTGGGGAGAGGGCGGGAGGCGAAGCGGGTCTGGTCCTCGGCCGGCTGGGGCGGTGCCCTCCCTCCGGCCTGCGAGGGGGCCCTGGAGCCCGCGCGAGGGGCTCGGGTGGCCCGAGAGCTGTCGCCCTCCACGGGCAGCGGATCCCAGGAGGGGGCGAGCCGGGTGTGTAGAGCGACCCAGGCCCAGGGCGGAGGGTGGGCTTTCTCTGGGCGGGGAAACCAGACACTTATAGGCGGCTGAGACCGACTTTATTTTTACTGCCCAAACTGTTGGAAAGTATTTAAGCTTAAACAGAAACAGCTGTATCGCTGGCACCGGCCAACGAAACTATTTGTTACCGGGGATGACTTTTTATGTTTAAGGACGCGGCCGTCGGCGGCCTCTCGCGGGCGGCTGACGCGGGTCGTCGGGGCGATCTGGGCGTCGCCAGCTCCACGTTCGTTAAGACAGACCGTCCGGGGAGATGAGACTGTTCCCTCCGCTCCCACCTTGTCAAGTTTGGGAACAAAGCCAGAACCTGGAGCCCCGCGTTTTGCGGGGAGGGGGCAGGGAGTGAGAGAGAAGGTGGGCTCCCAGCCCCGATTGTCCTGCGGGTCCCCCACGGCGCCGCGCACGCCGCGCACCTAACTTTGAACCAGAGTCCGGTTTTCTGCTCGGGGCTCCCTGACCCTCGGAGTCAGACTTCTTGGCTCGCTTTTGCGCGCGCGCTCTCTCCCTCCCACCTATTCCCTCTCCAAAGGAAACAGCTCCCACTCAAGTTTATCGTCGATGTTTTAACTAAATCGTGGGTCCCAAGGAATGAGTGCTGTGACTAGCAGCTCGAGCGGTAAGAGAGTAGCGTCGGGGAGAGCTGGGCCCGGACTCGGGCTGCTGTCCCCTGCCGCCGCCCCAGCCACGAGTCACCGCAAGCCGAGCTAGAGTTCGTGTGCCCGCGCGTGGCATCTGCGGCCCAGCCCCGGCCCCTGGACCCTGACATCTCCGCTCCGGAGCCGCTCCCACTCGACTCGCACCGGGCCTCGCCACGTCCCCCTCCGCGTTTTCTTGCGGAGTGAGCGCCGCGCAGGTCGGGAAGCGCCCGGGACAGGAAGTGTGTGGCTCAGGCCCCGCGGGTCGCCCGGGTGCAGGGGCAGCGGGACGCACCCCGAGCCCTGCGCCCCAACCCCAGCCCAGCTCCAAGCTCCGCCTTGGTGGCTGGTGGTCGACGCCCTCCCCCAACACTTCCAGGCACCGGGCAGGGGTCGGATGCACTAGGGCTGGCGACGCTCCGGCCGGGACCGGGCGGGGAAGAGCATCGTGGGCCGGCAGCAGGGGTAGGTGGCCGGGGGCGCTAGGGACGGGTCGGGAAGCGGGAAGAAGGGGCGCGACGACCCCCGCAGGGTCCCGGGGCGCGGGAAGCCTCGGGCAGGAGCGGCGGGTCCCCACTGGGTCTGCATTCGGCTTCCGAGCCGAAGGGCGAGCTGTGGAGCCCAGCCCGGCTCGCAGGGCCCGGAGGGTGGCCGAGGGCAGGGCTGCGCGACAGGAGACCGAGACACAGGCACATTGATTTGTTAGCAGGATGGGACTGGCGGCGGCGGCGGCGGGGGAGGCCGTTGCCATGGAGACCGAAGGTCGGACGGGCGGCTCACGGGGAGGGGGCGGGAAGGAGGAGCGGGCGAGGGGCGCGTCGCCGGCTCCCGGGGCTCGGGCGCGGCCCGCAGCGCCCCAGCACCTGTGCATTGTGCATTGTGCGGCGCGGGAGGCGGGGGAGGGGCGGGTGCGAGTGTGCGGCGCGGGGGCGGGGCGGGCCGGGGTCTGCCGAGGGGGCGGGGCCTGGCTGACACCGCCACGGGGTCCCAGCGAGACCAGCTGTGGGGAACGCTGAGCACCGGAGGGACAACTTGGCGGCCGGGGAGGGGGCCCAGGCGAGGACACAGGGAGAACGGCCCCCCTGGCCAGCTCCGCAGACTGACAGCAACCGGGCCGCCCTCCCCGCGACGTCACTTCCGGCGTCGGCCCCACCCCCTCGCATTCTGTCCCTTGAGTCGCCTCGGACTCCGCCCCCTGGCGATTGGAACGCGGGTCACGTAGCAACGCGGGGGAGAAAGGGAGAGGGGCGTGGCCCGCTGCTGGCCCAATCAGCTCGCGGGGGAGCAGACCCTGTCCGCTCCGCTTTAGCAACGTCGTTAGCAACACGTGGGGCGGGAGGAAGCGCTGGGCGGCAGGGGGGGGGGAAACCGAGAGCTGGAGGGGGCGGGGAGGGAGCGAGAGCGCGGGAGGGGGAGGAGAACTGACGTCAGCGGGTGAGTATTATGGTCTGTCGTGCGCTGGCTGCTGCTTTTCTGCTCCTGGTAGCAGCCAAGGGGGGAAGCGGCGAGTCAACATGGAGCTTTCAGCGGTTGGGGAGCGGGTGTTCGCGGCCGAAGCCCTACTGAAACGGCGCATACGGAAAGTAGGTACCCCTGGGCCTTGGGCCGAGCCCGGCCGAGCCCTCCCCTCTGGGCCCGGGTTCCCTCCCCCTGCTGCAGCCCAGCTTCCCTTCCCCCAGGTCCCATCAGCGGCCGCGGCCGTGGCGGCGGCAGCGGCTCTGAGCCCAAGCGGTTTCCTTAGACTTGCAGGGATGCACAGATTGCATGGGTGGGGGGCGGGGTGGGGGGATGAATGCCGGTGCATGCACTTTGTGCAGCGTTTCGTGCAGGGGGCGATGCGTGCAGGGGGTGGACGCGTGCCTTTCACGATAGGATTTCACGCATTCATTTGGTGCATGCATTTTTGCATATATTTCTTGTGTCCTCCTCAGGCATTTCTCTCGTGCACACACATATTTCCCCCTTTGCATCCGCAGGGACGCATGGAATACCTCGTGAAATGGAAGGGCTGGTCGCAGAAGTAAGTAGGTTATATGCAGTTCTCAACCCAGACTGTTATTCGGGAGGTTTCTTTCTTCCTCTTTTTTCCCTTTATGTTGAAATACAATACAATGCAACAAGAAAAGTTACAGACACACACGCCTGCTGCTCTTTCCCTGTTCCCGGGACTGACGCCCACTCCTTCCTGATCCCCTCTAGGTACAGCACATGGGAGCCCGAGGAAAACATCCTGGATGCTCGCCTGCTCGCAGCCTTTGAGGAAAGGTACGGGCTCTTCCAAGACTCAGCCTCTTTGTGTTTACTTATCCATTTAATTTATTGATTTTAGAGAGAGAGAGGAAGGGAGAGAGAAAAACACTGATTTTTGTTGTTCCGCTTGTTTATGCATTGATTAATTCTAGTATGTGTCCTGCCCAGGAATCGAACCTGCAATCTTGGTATATCAGGAAGGTGCTCTAACCAACTGAGTTAACCTGCTCAGCTTCTCGCTTAGGAACAGGGAGAGGGTGGTGTCTCTCCAGCCTGGACTGGAGCCCCGTGCAGTGTCGCTACTCACATGCCCCCGTTCCCACTTCCTTCCTCCAGGGAACGTGAGATGGAGCTCTATGGCCCCAAAAAGCGAGGGCCCAAACCCAAAACCTTCCTCCTCAAGGTAGGATGGCTTTGTCCAATGGCGGATTGCAATGTTGCTGTGTTGGTTTGTGGGATGGGGGCCCTGAGGGCTTGTGAACCAATGGGGTGTCCACACACTTTGCTTATTTGTAATCTAGGAGGGAGTCCCCAGACAGGCTGTGGACCAGGTCAGTGACTGTGCCTAAGGGGGGTGTCTTGGGAGGGGGGCCTTAGCCATTCTAGAATTCCCACCCGCCCCGCCCCTAGCCATCCAAAGTAGACATATAACCAAATAGAAGAAGTGTGCTTGCTGCACGCGGCTGCTCCCAGACAAACCCTCTACCCCTGCCCCAGACCATACCACCCCTAAGCCCCACCCCCACCCGTGTAGAAATCCTGAGGCTTTGGAGGGTGAGCTGGGAGGCTGGCTGGAGGAGGGGTCCTAGGGGTCGTGTGGGCAGGACCCTGCTCCACTCTTGACGCCACTTTTCTCCTGCAGGCCCAGGCCAAGGCAAAGGCCAAAACTTACGAGTTCCGAAGTGACTCTGCCCGGGGCATCCGGATCCCCTACCCTGGCCGCTCGCCCCAGGAACTGGCTTCCACTTCCCGGGCCCGCGAGGGCCTTCGGAACATGGGTTTGTCCCCACCAGGGAGCAGCAGCAGCACCAGCAGCACCTGCCGAGTGGAGCCCCCTCGGGACCGTGACAGGGACCGGGATCGTGAGAGGGAGAGGGACCGTGAAAGGGAGCGGGAACGTGAACGGGGTGCCAGCCGTGTGGATGACAAACCCAGCTCGCCTGGGGACAGCTCTAAGAAGAGAGGCCCCAAGCCCCGGAAGGAGCTCTTGGACCCTTCGCAGAGGCCGTTAGGAGAACCCAGTGATGGCCTGGGAGATTACCTCAAGAACAGGAAGCTGGAGGATGCCTCTTCGGGGGCAGGGAAGTTCCCGGCTGGCCACAGCGTGATCCAGCTGGCCCGAAGGCAGGACTCTGACCTGGCTCAGTGTGGCGTGGCCAGCCCCAGCCTGGCCGAGGCCACAGGCAAGCTGGCTGTGGACACCTTTCCCGCCAGGGTCATAAAGCACAGAGCCGCTTTCCTGGAGGCCAAAGGCCAGGGTGCCCTGGACCCTGGTGGGCCCCGAGTCCGACATGGCTCAAGCACCCCCAGCTCTGTGGGAGGCTTGTATCGGGACATGGGAGCTCAGGGGGGAAGACCCTCCCTCATCGCCAGGATCCCAGTGGCCAGAATACTGGGGGACCCAGAGGAAGAGTCCTGGAGTCCTTCTCTGACCAACCTGGAGAAGGTGGTGGTCACCGACGTGACCTCAAACTTTCTGACCGTCACCATTAAGGAAAGTAACACGGACCAAGGCTTTTTTAAAGAGAAGAGATGAATTGCTGGGGGGGTGACTCCAGGACAAGAGAGCAGGAAAGAGAGTGAGAGCTCAAACTCCGCATAAATGATGCTTTTTATTTCCGGGCGGGAGGCGGCCTTCTGGTGGTCCCCTCCCTACCTCCACATAGCCCGCCCCTTCCTCCCTCCTGCCTCCCTCTCAGTTTTGGTTGGAAGAGTATCTCTAGAGTTATATTTTCTATTAGATGTAAATATGTTATTTAAGAAAAAATATCTAAATATATATATTTCAACTCTTGAAGTTGTTTTATTTAACAAGGAGAGAGAAAGAGACTCAGTGTGGTGTAGTTGGGGCAGACAGGCTGACTTGGGGCAGGAGGGGCCCCTCAGCTACCCAGGGCACTAGAGAGGTTGGGGATGTGGGTAGTGGGCCTCTGGTGGCGTCTGGAGGGACTTAGCCGGCCCACCTCACCCCTCCTCCCTTTTCCCACAGCCCCGAGGCAGACCCCTGGAAACCAAGGCAGGACCCGGATTTTTTCTCTCTTCCCATTGGCCGGCCAGGCCAGCAAAAGGTTGGCTCCCCAATCAGAAAAAAGGAGGGTGGGGTCAGTCTGTTCCCCCCACCTTTTTTTTTTTTAAGACGAAGAAGTCTGTTCAGGGGGAAAAAAAGTATTAACTTGAATCATTTTTGCGTGTGATTTTGAAGGTGAAAAGTCGCGGGTGGGTGGGGAGCAGCGGACTTCCCCCAGGACCACACCAGGAAATGCACTTTACGGGAGATGTGTGTTCCACACGCAGATCAGACCGTGTGCGTGTCAGTCATGTGGATACAACCTCCCAGTTCCCTCCATTCCTTTCTTTACTCCACAGAAAGAAAAGAAACCCAGCGAATCTGTTTACATTCCCGAAATGCCAGGATAAATTGGGAGGATTGCGTGTCCGTGGCCAGAGCTGGAGACAGTTGTTCAGAGAAAAGTGTCTGGGGGTGGACCTTCCCTCTCGCGTCCGCTAGCTGCGCCAGGAGCGGAGGAGACACTGGCCCCCAACTCCCAGGAAGCGTTGGACTCGCCGCCCTCCCTCGCGGAGGGCGGGCCTCCAGCCCCGGACCGACACACGGCCAGACAGGCCCACCCTGCGGACCCACGGAGGGAGGCGCGGCGGCGGGCGCGGCGGCAGCAGCGGGGCTCTGGCTCTGGATGCGGCCTGGCCTGGCTGCTAGCGGCGGAGGGTCCGGGCCTGGGGCCGGGCTCCAGGCAGGACTCGCGTGGTCCCGGCGGCTCCGCGGGGCGAGGGGCGGGAGGAGCGGGGCGAGGTTTTCCTCCAGGAATGCGCATCAGAACTTTTGCTTTTACCTCACTCCCCCTCCTTCTTAAAAGCAAAAGCTATAATTTATAGGCCTTTTCGATTCGCGGAGTGTTCTCTATTTGAACTCGACTCCAAACTCCGCCAAAGGGGGAGGAGCGGGGGCTGCAGAAGGGACGCCCGCGGCGGGGGAGGCCCTGCGCGGCGGCGGGCGGTCCCCGGCGCCCCCGCCCGGGCCAGCTCGCGACCACGCCGCGCTCCAGGGACGCAGGACGTGCGCCCCGCTCGACTCAAAAAGCACAAATCTGTTTCCTCCCTCCCTTTGAGGACTGATCTGCGGCCTCCCCGCCCTTAAAGGGCCAGAGGAGATGCAACTGCCCAGTGCTCGTCGAGGGAGGGGCGTGGGGCCTCCAAGCGCTGGAGGAAGCACAGACTCGGGGCGAGCGAGCCGGGGATCCGGGACCGAGGGGGCGTTCGCGGCTCGTTGCAGGGTCAGGGCGGGAAACCCAGCCTCGTCGTCGTCATTCTCACTTCTGTATCCCCTCCTCCGGCCTCCCCGCCAGACTTTCTTGCCTTTACAGAGAGGGGGTGCAAAGGAGTGGACCGGTGTGCTCCACAGTCTTGTTTGGTTTTGAATATTAAACTGCGCCTATAAAGAGAAGCCCCCGGAATGGGGATTTTTATCTGCTCACATTTGTAAAACTGGTATTTTAGCCTTTGTATAAAGAAGCGCCGTTGACTGAGTGTATCTATTTAAATGTCGACGCTATTTTCAGAGGAAAACTTCGTGGAAGGGACCTGTCTGTTGTCGAGTGGAGGGCGACTCGGGGACACGTGTCTTGACCTGGCGGCCGCCGGCCCTCCCTCCTTCCCTCCCTTTCAGCTGACTTCGCCCTTCCCTTCCCTCCCACCTTCCTCCGGCCAGCCTGGTTCTTCCCCCACCGCCCCTCTGTCCTGCCGTCTGTCCGTGGCGTGTATGTCTCCTACGCTCGCTCTTGCGACGCTGACCTGGGGGTGGGGGGTGGGCGGGGGCCCGGGGCACGTGGCTGGAAGTCTGCAACCGCGCCCGACGCGTTGGGTGTATTTAGGTCAAGGATTTTTACAAATATTGAATCGACCTCCGCCTCAGCTCAAGAGTGAAGCCTCGGTCCCGATCTTCTGCGGTTGTGAATGTCTGTACCCAATATCGCTTTTTACGTGTTTAAATATATACTTTGTAAATAGAGACGAGTCTCAGTTTTATTCCTCCCCCCCCCCCTCCATTGGAGCAGGCAGAAGAGGCGCGCGGGAGGAGAGGACCCTTCCTCCGCTCTCATTACCCACCCCACCCCCCACTTTCACCTCCAACAGCCTGGGACCACCCAGTCCTCAACGGCCCTTTCCCCGCACAACTGGGAGGGGGACGCTCCAACTCAGGGGAGAGGGAGGGGCTTGGGAGGGAGCAGGGTATGGCCCTCCTTCCCTCCAGGGGGTAGGTCGTGGCTTTTTTCTCCCACCCACTGAACTTCTCTGGGAGCGAGCAGAATTTGGGGGCGCCAGGAGAGTGGGCAGGACGTCTGTGCCCCCCTTTGACCTGGCGGGTCTCCCACAGCCGGCCCTGCCCCCAGGCCCGACGTCACTGGTCCTCGAGGCCCGGGTTCCCTGCAGCCGCGCTCCCCGGGCGCTCAGGCCTGCTCCCCAGTACTGTCGTGGGACCAGCTCCCCAGACCCTCCCGGCCTCACCAGCACCCCCCGAAATGCAGCGCCTCTCGCCTATTGATTGAGGAATTGAATTCGCGGGTATTGCTAGGCAACTGGCTGCTCGGGGCTGGCGCAGAGCGAGCTGATGTGATTAGTGAACCCGGAGCTGCCGCGGCACAGCCTTGCAACCCCCCCCGCGAGCCCCAACAGCCTCTCTGTCCCTGGACTTCTTGGGGGCCGGTGCCTCTAACGTCGGGCGAGGCCGGCCTGGGAGAGACTGGAACGCAGAGTGGGGGTGGGGAATTCTGGGCCGTTACTGGCCCTCGTGGGGGCGGGGCTGTGAAACCGGCGCAGGGGAGCGGCTCTTGGGATCCCCGAAGTGGCCATAGCGCGGAACCCAATTCCACCCCTTAGCCCTCATAGATATATCGCCCCACGAAGAAGCCCAGGTCCGGGCGCACTAAGAGAGCTCCAAGGGAGGGCCGTGGCCACGCTTTCTTCCCCCGCGTCTCCTAACCTTGGCCCACAGGTCACACCCCGGGCCATGGTGGAGCTCTCCCCGCCACCTTCCCCCAGTTCAGTGACCAGTGTGGGAGGGAGCGCCCAGCTCCAGGGTGCGGGGCGCAGGGTGTTGAGTGCCCTTCGGACGTGAGGGCTCCACGCCCGCTCCCAATACAGTCAGCGGGCGAGGGCGGAGTGGGGTGGTCTGGCGCGAGCCGCAGCAGGTCAGCCCCCAAACCAAGGGGGGCTGCTCTGCCGAGACTCCCTCGGTGTGGGCTCCTGGGCACAGGGTCGGCGCAGTGGGCTGCGCTTAGGGAGATGGGAGGCTCCGACGCCGCTCCCTTTCCCAGGCTGGCTGGCCACCACCGACCCTGGCTTGGACCAGCAGCTCCTACCCCGGGTTTCCGTTCCCTGGGCAGATTCTCCGGGAAAGCGCCCAGGTGCGGAGGCCTCAGGCGGCGGGGCCGCCCTGCACCGGGCCGCTCCCCGGCGTCCAGAGCTGACTTGTGCGGCCGCTGCCAGCGCGGAGCCTGGCTCAGCACACACGCTGGTTGAACGGAAACGTTTATGGCTTTTCCGAGAGCGTCGAGTACGGTACGGTTTTCTGTCCCTTCGATGCTCCCAGCGCACGGACCCTCGTCGAGGCCCTGCGCGGTGCACGAAAGACCCGGCGGCGGACAGTCCTGCCCAGCACTCTTGTTCTCCTCTTCTCGCCGAAAACTCCTCCAGGCCCGGGGGGGGGGCGGGGGGGCCTTAGACGCAGCTGGAGCCCCGAGTCCGGGCGCTCAGTGCTTGCCAGGGCTCCACCGCAGGCGCCCAGCCTCGGGGGAGACTGGACACCGGGAAAGAAGCCGTGGGCTGTGGCCAGGGTTTTTTTTTTTTCCAGAGGCGTCGGAAACAAAGTCTGTTTAGCGTCTTCTAGGGGCGGTTAGGGTGCGGGTCTCCTAATTAGGTTCCCGGGACAGCTCACAGGGCAGAGTAGGGAACCTGCCCGCGAGTCCGAAGAGCCGGCGGCCGGCAGTTGGCGGGGCGCGCGCGCCCTCTAGAGGCGACGATCTCAGTCCCGTTCCCGGGTGCCCACCCCCCTGCGCCCGCCCTGGTCTCTCCGGGTCGCGAAAGGAGAAGCGAACACCTCCTCCCGGCTACCCAGGAGCATGCTAGAGCGGGCACCCCCTCGGCGCCCTCCCTGCAGCCAGGCCCTCGAGCGGGGAACGCGGAGGTGCGGAAGGCTGCGTCCAGCAGGCCGGGTCCCCGTCGTGGAGTCCGGGTGCACCCATCATGCCAGGCGTTTTGGGACCGAACCCGGGCGGCGGGTGGGGGGCAGGGGTGTGCTCTAGGCTGAGCCCTCCGGCCGGGTTGGGCCCCTTGGCAGCCCGGCCGGCTCTTCTGGGAAGGCGGTGGATTAGGCAATGAGATCGGCAGCGCATACAACTAACAAAGGCCGCTGTGGACCAGGGCCCGCACCCGTCTGGCCTAGGCTAGGTAGAAACTACTAGCAGGAAAACCACGGGGGTGGCGGTGGGGGGCAAGGGGCGGCAGGCCGCGCCGCCCCAACTCCGCTAGCCTGCTCCTTCCTGGACCACCCCCGACCCCTTTCTGCAGCTCTCAAACACCCCAGGACAGGAGGGCTGGGGGTGCCCCTGCCCACTTTCTCCAAAACAAAACAGCTCCAGCCGTGGAAGGAGCAACAAAGAAAACAGGCCAGCGGCCTTCCCGGCGAGAATCTGATCTCCAGTTCGGAGCTGGGGCTGCATTTCTAGCTGCAGCGAGAACCTCCCCCTGAACTGAAATGTTCAAGCCTTCTCTGCCCCAACTAGCTTCCAGCCGGCAGCGGCCGACATCTAGGCCCAACTTCTCACTTCAAAGGGAGCTGAGTCTCCCCGGAGGCTGAAATGCATGAATAAATTCATGCGCAGGGTGATGCCGAACTTAAAGGACCAGGAGGTCATTTCGTAAGCCAATCATCTCTAGCCCGAGCCGCGTTAGGCGTGGCAGCAGCCGGAAGATACGAAGCTTCTTGCGCTTTGCGCCAACTCCCCTGGAACTTCGTGGCTGCGTCCCTGTGAAGTGTTACCACGTGTGGAGGATTCCGGGGGTCGAGTGGCTTCCCAACACGGGATCTTTGGGTTCTGGGGAGAGGGGAGGGATTTTTGAATTGTTTGAACCCCAATCATCCGTTTCTGGGAGGTGTCCAAGCAAGTCTACCGTGTATTACAGAATCCCTGGCCACTACCGGCTGGAAACCAGTAGCAGCAACTCACACTGTCGCTTAGGAAAAAGTCTCCCCACACCCCAGGAAAGAGGCCAAGCCGTCCCGAAGGTTTTGTTTTTCCCTCCTTTGGCTCCGTCGTGTGGAAGTCTCTTGCCTCTAGGAAAAGACTTGTGCTTCCGGCCGCACTCAAGACACACACCAGGCTGACAGGTTACAGAAAAATATTTATTGGTGTACTAAAAGTTCAAAAGACAGGTCTTCTCACACATTTGCCAATGTCTTTCCCCCGCAAAATAAATTAACATCCGTCTAAAAGCCTGCAACCTACCGCTAGTGTTAGTTTTCCAAAAATACTAGAAGATGCACAGAATTTTTAGGTGCATGTGAGCAAACATCAGGGGATCTAGGCACCACCTCTCCCCTCCCCCCTCCCTGGTCCCCACGCGGGGGGGGGGGGGGCTTCCTGGGGGAAGCATTTCCTCTGGCAGCCGGTCCTGTTTGAGTGTGGGGGCTGGGCTGCTGTCCTGTCCTGGCGAAGGCCTTGGGTTTCCCAGGGCGTGTCCACTTTTGTTTTTGCAAGCCAACAGCTACAGTTTAAAGCAATTAGAAGTGGTATTCATAAGTATTTTCTTTAATAAAAAAACAAATCAAGCCAGTAATGGACACTGGTCCAAAGCCACGGCCCACCCCCAACACTTCCCACTAAGGAAACCTTTGGCCAGGCCCAGGGCCCTCTTAGGTCAGAATTTTGAGTGTGTCCAAAACAAGGAACACTCTTTTTGGTACCAAAAATATACATATATAAAATACACCAAACACTCTTAAGAGGACAGACGTGGCCACTTCTCCTATCAGGTACAGAAGCAAATGGAGACACGGCAGGACTGAAACACCTACTCAATGTGCAGCAACAGCCGGTGTGGCAGAGGCGCTGCAGGACACGACTGGGGGCAACCGCAGGCCGGCCATGTGGCCGATGCCCAGACACGCACACGCGTAGCAGCAAGTGAAAGTACTTTTTATTGGTAAACATGCAGTCCTACCCCAGTAAAGGCTGTACACGCCAGAGTGCACACACCCCGCCCACTTAAACACAAACTGCTCAGAGTCACAAGCACCAAGAAACACACACCACACAGTGAGAAGGCAAAGTGGCTGGGAGTCAGGGGCCTGCAGACTCAAACTTTGGGATTGAAATGGCTGGTAAACAGAAAGGTACCAAGTCGTTTCCAGAGACCTGGCTGCTGGTGATGACATCATCCCACAGCCCCTGGAAGCCCAGGGTTGCCCCACAGGCCTGGAAGGAGCTGCAGCTTCTAAGGCAGAGGGGCAACAGGCAGGAGGGTCTGTGGAACTTGGAGGCTGTGAGCACCATTCCTGCCAGTCAGCATGGTGACCACACGAGACCCAGAAACTTCACTCGGGTGGCTCTCAATGAGGTCCTGGACACAGGCCGTCCCCAAAGGCACACTGTTGAAAGTGGTTCGGCTACTCAGAAGCCATGCTCCCTATTTGGCATGGAGGGTGGGGGACCAGGGCCCTGCAGTGGAGCAGGCCCAGCCCTCAGAGACCACAGCCCACTGAGCAAGTCCGGGCCCAGGGCCCCTTCGGTTAAGGCCGTGGGGATAGAGTCCCACCCCAGCTGGCTGACTGTAACCAGTAACTGAACAGAGCGTCCCCCAAAGTCCCACTTCTTTTTGGCTTTACAAATACCCAGTGCTCCTGCCCTGAGGTGACCCATCTCTCTGCCCCCAGTTCCGAGGCTGGTCATTACATGAGGCAGCACCCCAATATAGCCAGCTGGGGGGTATATGGTGGCAGCAGACCCGGCCTTTCTTGGGGCTATTGGCCAGGCGGGCCCCTCGATTTTGTCCTACTTCCCAAATGGTGCAGGGAGCCAGCTTCCCAGCTGGAAAGGACACGAAACCCCCGGAGGTGGGGGGATTATTAGGGAGGATGGCACCTCTCGAAGGCCGGGGACAGGGCAAGGCCACGGACAGGGCAAGGCAGGGGCAGTGTGCAGGGCCAAGGTCGGGCCTAGGCAGTCTGCCCAGGGGCAGCTGGCAGGGACACAGCCAGTCACACCCACTCCTCCTGTCCCCTGAACTCGGAGGCTGTTCAGGCCCAACAGCTCTGGGACAGGCCCCTCCCCGGCCTGATGGGACTTTTGGGTCAGCATCCAGGGCCTGTGGCCGTCAGTCCGAACCAGGGTCAGGTGGCATCAAAACCCACCTCCCCTGGGTTGCTGGCCCCCACCCTCTACACTTTTGAAACCTGTCCTTTTCCGTTAAGGCCACAGCCCTCAGCTGTCAGCGGGGGAGGACAGGGACAGCAAGTCCCCTCCCCTATGCCGGCTCAGACAGTGCTGAGGGGGGGGTTGCAACCAGTGAGGCCTGGCTGGACTGTTCTGCCCCCCCCCAACCCCCAATACAGTGTCACCCACAGTGGGCAGAAGAGTCACTCTGCACAAGAAATGCTGACGGCCCTCCCCTGCAGGCAAGCAGGGAGTGTGAGGTTTGGCTTGAGCCCTGGGCAGCTGCCCGGACTCCGAGGCCAGTGGAAAGCAAAGGCCCAGAGGTAGGAGCAGGGCTGGGCCAGGCCCTGGCAAGGCATCACAGGCAGGGCTGGGGTCCAGGGAGAAGGCCTTCCAAGCCTGCCCTTCAAGGCCACCTGGCCCCTGGAGAGAGTGTGAGGTGCGGCTACTCTGGAGCAGAGTAGAGGCCAGAGACAGGCAGGGGAGGCCCCGACGGTGGCCGTCACACGGTCAGTAGTGCCTCAGGTTGAAGAAGCCCACACTGGTGGGGGATTCCTTCACCGTGACGGTGATGAGGTTGGCAGTGACGTCAGTGACAAAGACATGCTCAATGAGGCTACGGGTGGGCTTCCAGTCCTGGCTGGTCTGCACAGACACAGACAGGCTCTGCTTGGTGCCGGGCGGCGAGGCGGAGTCAGGGTCCGAGTCAGAGCTGCTGTTCTCCTCACCGGTGCTCAGCCCCAGCAGCGTGGCCGCCTTGCGGGTGTCACCCCGGGCCCCGGGCCCCTCCTGCCCTCCAGCAGCCACACTGCCCTCGACACAGTCCCGCTTGCCTGCAGGGCCAGGCAGAGTTGCGGCTCTGGATGCCAGCTTCTCACTCTTGCCGGTGTCTGCCATCACGCCAGCCCCGCTGCCCCCCGTGGCACCGGCTCCGGCCCCTTTCCCAGTGCCTGGCATGGTGGCAGGGACGCCCTTGTTGGTCGTGGCATGGCGGGCAACCATGCCCACCCCAGGTGTGCCGTTCTTGACACTCTGTAAGTCTAAGACCTGGAGGCTCAGCTCTTGGGTGGGTGCAGGCTGGGGGCTCAGGCAACTGGCAGGGACCTTGCTGCTGCCGTGGACATGTGGGGGCCCTGCTGCGTTCCCCCCTTTCTGCTCCACTGCCCCGCTGCTGGGGGCCTTTGGGGCTTTGCTTCCTGGGGAACTGAACCCCAGCTCACCCTTCTGCGTCCTCACCTTGAGGTCCAGCCCGAGACTGCACTTGCCGGTGGCCTGGGCTTTGAGCGCCAGCCTGCTGGCGGCTGCGGCCTGGCTCTGGCTCACGCGGTTCATGTAGTGCACGATCGAGCTCTGCCAGCTAATGCCGCCTCGGCTGGGGCTGCCGGCCATGCCCTTCATCAGGCCGGCCAGGTTCTCCGGGGTGGCCATGGTGCTGGGGCTGCTGCACGCCTCCTTGGTGTGTGCCTTCAGTGCTGCCAGGCCGGCCACAGGGGCGCTGAGCGGAGCGGGCAGCTTGCTGGCTGGCGCCCCCAGGTCCTTCCGGGCAGTCTTTAGCACCCTGGCCAGGCTCACGGGTCTCCGGGCCGCCTTCTGCTCTGGGGGCAGGGGCTTGCGGCCCCGCTTCTTCCGGATGGGGTCCTTCAGTTCGGGTCTGGCCACCAGGATCTGGGCCTTCTTCTGAGGCACTGGATGGGTCTCACGGCTCCTGGGACCCCTCTTGGCGTCTAAGTCGCTGTCATCTTCTTCATCCGAGGAAGACGAGGAGGATGTAGAGGACGAGGAGGAGCTGCTGGATTTGCACTTGGAGGTGGTGTCAGTTTCCTGCAAAGACAAAGGGAAGGCGTCACCCTTTCCACACGATACGGTCCCCAGAGTCTAGAACCCACATTTTCCCCAAGGGGTGTCGGGCCCCTGGAAGCCAGCCCCTCCTATGGCTTCCAGACCAGAGGCAGCCAACGGGGAGGGGCTTCTCATCCCTTTGGTCCAGAAGAGACACGTAAGGTCCCTAGTGAGTCTCCACAAAACGCCGTGAGAAGCAGAACAGAGAAAAACCGGCAGAGTCCACCAACAAAGTCAGAACGACACAGAGAAACACACACGGCATCCAGACACTGTTAGCTTTGGGGGGCACCCCACAAGCGTAGCTGCAGCCCCCCGCAGATAATTCCAGAAGGGAAATTTGGAGCAGTGCCATCTACCCGCCCCCTGAGGTGGAGAGTCGAATGGAAGTGTGCACAGAGCTCTGTGACCTGAAGCGGGTGGACACTGGTTCCAATCTCCCCATTTCCGAACCTGACCCCTGCGCACACGGGAACTCCAACCGCTGCCCCCATCTCCAGAGTGCCTCCTGAGGACTAAGGACCCCCTCCTACTTCACAGGTCCCTTTGCTGCTGGCTGCTGACCAGCCGACAGGACTGAATGCAGAGCTTTCCCCGCCTCCCGGGAGGTTTTATAAAGTGACCACACTCTTGGCCATTAAATGTGGTTCTAGGGTCCTAGGTCAGTGCCCCCAGAGCCCCTACTGCTCTGAACTGTTGGGTGGGGGGTGGTACCATGGGCTTCAGGTGGGGGCCCAGGGGGGCTGCCCAGTTAGCTACATCTACTGGGCAAACTTGAGCACCTACTGTGTACATGCTTCCTGTTCCCCCATTCCCCGTGAGCCACTGTGAGTGACACTGAAAACTGGTCCGCAGCCCAACAGGATCTGCTCTCCAGTAGAAAGGCGTGCAGGCTGGACAGCAAAGAACAGGACACTGGCTCAGGGTGGGGGGGCTCCTAAATTTCTAACTTGATTTTGCCCCGCTCCTGCCCCCGGCAGAGGCCTGAGGAGCAGCAAGGACCGAGCCAGAGGCCAGGGCCTCATTCCCCAAAGCCCTCCACCCTTCACCCCGCCCCGAGTGCCAGGAAGCAAGCCGCCAAATCTGGGCCATCCCCGCCCACCTTGAGCTTGGAGTGCCGGCCACAGGAGGACATCACCGTGTGCTTCCTCGGCCTGCCCCGGGGCCGCTTGCCTCTCTTCCGGTTCTGCACCTCCTTCTCGTGTTCCCTGCAGACAGTCACCAATCAGGGTCACTGACCCCCTCCTCCCACCGCATGGAACCCCAAAGCTTCCAACAGCCCCCAAGATGCTGGCCAGGCCCACGGTAGCTCCTCATGGGTTTCTCTGGGTGGAGGGCCAGACCCGCACCTCTGCAGGCCCGTGATGTTTGTGTACCCATGTACGTCATCTGCGTAGGGTAAAGAGAAGTCAGAGAAATCGCAGACAGAACGTCTGGTGGGGATTCTAGAATATTCTGAGGAGTCTGGGTGGTCACGTGTCACAATCCCCTCATTTCACACTTGGAGTCCAGGGCAGGGAGCGAGGACTATGCCTCCCCCAACCCCCAATGCCCGTACAGAAAGAATCCCTACAGTCTGAGGAGCACAGGGAACCAAGGGCTTTAGTCTGGCTCCGCACTCCGGCCTTCCCAGAGCCGGTGCCCTGGCACGCAGTCCAGTCCCGGTCTCCCTTTTCTAACACCCTCTGGTTCCAGACCACTCTAGCAAGGTGCTGGAGGGGCTCCACAGGGGCCACGGGGCCAGGAGAGGGTCTGCAGTCCATCCTAGAGGCAGCCTGCGCCTCAGGCCGCCCGCCCACTGGGGGGACCTACGTGGAGGAGGTTCCTAGTAAATAACACGGGCGCCTGTTGTCTCACCGGGGCCTGCAAGGTGATCCCTTAGAGAATGCAATTAGCACAACCAGACAGACATGACCCTCCAAAGCAGCCCGACCTCTCTCCCAAGAGGAGAGCCTTGCCCCATGGGTCTCCTCCTCCCTGCAGCTGAGCAGGTCACAGCCCCACACCGAACAAACCCACCGCCAGCTCCCAGTTTCCGTGGGATCTTTCTGGCTCACAGGAGAAAGCAGAGCCTCTGCCTCCCCAGTTTCCTCTCCCCCAGGATGTAATGCAGACCACCCTGTGGCTCAAACTCCTCCGCCTCTGAGACTTTCACCAGCCCAGTTCTCATCTGCGGCACTGTAACCAAAAGTGAAGTCGGCTTCACAGGCTCCCCAGACCCGAGTGACAACTTAGGCAGCAGTGGGTGAGGCTGCCAAGCTTCTCCAAAGGCTCGGGCAAGCCTGGGCTCACCTCCTGTTCGCGCCAAAGGACCGCCCTTATTTGGGCACTTGTGTCACAGCCGTCCGAGGAGACCCAAAATGTCCACTGGACAGAAAGCAGGGACACTGCCTGAGCCACCAGAGAGCCAGCTGGCCAGACTGACCGCACCGGGACAGTGTCTGAACAAGCAATGTAGCTGCCTCTGTCGACGCGGCGATGCCCAGCTGAGTGCCCGCACCCCGGGAGGGCTCCAGAACAGCACCTCCAGACTCTGGCGCCCGGGTGCAGCGCCCCATCCAGTGCCAGCCACTCACCACCCTTTCCTCACGTCTCAAGTATCTCTCCTAACCCGTTCCCCACTTAAAAACAGAAACGACATCTAGAATTACATAAGTGCCCTGGCTGATGTGACTCAGTGGACTGAGTGCCAGCCTGCGAACCCAGAGGTCGCTGGTTCGATCCTTGATCAGGGCACACGCCTGGGCTGCAGGCCAGATCCCCAGGTGGGGGAGGGCGGAGGCACCCAACTGTTTCTCCTGCACATCAACGCTTCTCTCCCTCATTTTCTGTAAACAAACAAACAAAACCAAACCTTGGCCATTTAGATTTACATGAGCAAATCTGACTCCACAGACTGGCCAGGGGCCACCGTGGTGCTTGCTCAGGACCGTCTGCTTTGCAGCCCAGGGGCCAGCCAACCACTGTTGTTGGTACCGAGTATCCACAACAGGTCCCACGCTGTGCTGTGTGTGCCAGCGCCCTCTCTGAGCCTTCTCTTGCTCAACGGCACCCCTGTGGCAAACCTGATGCCTTAGTTTCATAAGTCCCCGTTTGCAGAAACCATAGTTTTTCATGAAGGAAGCAGGGAGGTCCATCTCGGCAAGCACAGCTCTCAGCAAGACCAAAGGGCAGCCCTGTCCGAGACTCCTTACTTCTAGACACACCCAGGCCAGGCCAGGGGGTGGCTCCTTCGGGCCCTGGAAGCTGGCTCCACCTTCACAGAGGTCCCAGCAGAGGCCGCAGGGACAGCTGCTAAGGAACCTCAAACCACAGCCCAAGCCCAGGACCCTGGTGCACCAGCACCCCGCCCCCCCTCCCCCGCGGGCCCCCTCTCACTTCTTCTGGAAGGCCAAGAGCAGCCGTGGATCCAGGATATTCTCCTCCGGCTCCCAGCTGTTGTGTCTGGAAAAGCACAGAGCAAGTCCTAGTGAAACAGCAGCCACTCTAGATGGAAGCCAGTCCCTGCCGATGGCCAAGTGGCCGAAGGTCCCACTCACGCCCAGCATGAGCTCACGGAGACAGACCTCCAGCATCTTATCTTTAAATTCACAGGGAAATCGCTACCTCGACTCCTCAATTAACAAACGACCTCAGGAGGGCTCAGTCTCCCCCGGGAGGAAAACAAATCCCAACAAAATGGAAAGTGGCAGAGGGAAGCCCCCAAACCCTGGACCGGAGCCAGAGAGGGAAGGGAAGGCTGTCCAGGATGCTGGGAGGGGGAGGCTGAGGGGCACAGAGGAACGCAGGCCAGAGATTTAACAACGTGGCTGGCGCTCGCGGAGCGCGGGCCGAAGCACCGGGAGGGGAAAGTAAAGATTGTGGCCCAGAAGAAAGGGGAAACGGGTCTTCGAGAGCGACTGTAAACAGAGCCCCCTCCGGAATGCCAAGTCCCCTCCCTCCCATTAAAGGGGGGGAAAAAAAAAAGCCCTACATTCATCAATAGACAGCTCAGGTTACAGCGGGGAAAATATGGACAAGAGGAGGGGGTCCCGCCAGTGCGGGGAGGGGGCGCATGCAACAAATGGGCGCGGAAGGAACGCGCGGCACAGGGGGAAAGCGGTCCGGGGGCTCCGGGAGAGGTCCGGGCCGCGACCCGAAGGGGAGGCCGGCAGCCCCGCACCCTCCGGGTTTGTAAACAAAGGGCAACCCCGCGCAGCCTGGGCGCTCCCTCCTGCAGTGCCAATGGAGCCTCCAGGGACTACGCGAACTTCCCGCGCAGTGCACGGACGCCCTCCTTCCTGCTCCCTGGAGACGCTGCGACCCAGGGTCACCCCCTGCCCAGGGTCGAGGGGCGCGGGCGGGAAGGCGGGCGCCGCATTGTTGGGGACTCACTTGGAAGACCAGCCGCGCCACTTTACCAGGTACTCCAGCTTGCCCTGTAGGGAGAGAGGAGTCGAGTGAGCAGGGGCGAGCAGGAGGGCTCCGGGCGAGCTGGAGGGGGCGCCGAGCTGAACGCACCTTGCGGAGCCGCTTGCTCAGGATGCACTCGGCGGCGAAGACCTGCTCGCCCACGCTGCTCAGCTCCTCCATGCTGCCGCGCGCGCCCGCCAGCCCGATCGCGGCGCCCGCCGCTCCCCGCACAGCCGCCGCACACAAAGCACCGCCCCCGCCCGCGCAGGGCCCGCCCCGCGCACGCGCACCGCTGCAGTGCCTCTTCTCCGCGCCGCGCAGCCCCTCCGCTGGCTGTCCAATCTGGAGCTGGCCAATGAGTGCGCGGGGGCGGGGCATGGGGCGGGGCGTGCATTGTTTGCCGCGGGTTCAGCTCAGGCGGGCGCTTGGGGTCTACGCGGGGTCCTAAACTGGCCTGGGCTTGGGTGTGGTGGCCACCGGCCCTGGAGAATCTCAGGGTGCGGCGCGGGAGCTGCGTTAGTGGTCGGGGGGTGTTCGCGGGGGAGGGGCGCGCCGCGCGGCTTCGGACCTGAGAAGTTGTCCGCGGAGTCCTGCTCGGACCCCAGGGTGTGCCCAACCTCCTCCTAACTTCGTTTTCCAGGAAAAAAGCCATTGTTCTGGCCCGAAGCGGGAAGTAGGGACTGAGCGCGGCGGTCACTTCCTGCCCCCACCTCCGAGGGGCGCTGCTCCAGCCGCCCTCTGCCTTTCTGAACTAGGTCTCGGGCACTCCTATTTTGCGCGGGAGCAAAAGGGCCAGGGGGCGGGGAAGGAATGGGAGACAAAGTACTTGGCCGGGGAGCGAGGCGGGGTTGGTGAGGGGTGGCGGGGGGCTGGGAGGGAAGCAAAAACAGAGCAGCCCGGCTTTTTTTTTTAATCCCCAAAGACGATAGAAGACGATGCATCAACTGAAAACGCGAGCTGCTTGGTGTTTCTACTTTTAGCTATGAAGTGTGGAATCCAGCCCCGAGTTTCAGGGCACACGTAGGGAGAACGGGAACTGTGCCTTAATTTGTTTCACAATTTTGATGAAATGAATGCGGGGGGTGGGAGCGAGGTTTCAGGCGGTGGTTCTAACCTAAGGCTAATTAGGGGGCCGGCCAGGATTGGGAAATCTGTATCTTTTGGTCAATTGCACCCGGCAGGAAGAAGGTTGGGGCCCCTTTTGGGGTCCTCGGTGGCAGGCCACCCTTTTATTTTCTGCTGTTAAGATCCGTATTGCATTGAGCGATTCCCCCGTAAGGCATTTAGCTCTTGCATGTGAGGCAGTCAGGCGGATAATAAAGGAGATAAACAGTAGCTTTACCTTTTTTCGCATCAATACCATTTAACTCAATGAAAATTCACTTTCTGGTTTCATGTCTTCCTTGAACGCAGCTGCAAAGTATTTCTCTGTTGAGCAAATGAAAACGTCGCTTCTCGTTGCGGGAGACTATTGCCTCAATGTAATTTTGATCATTCAAACCGCATTTACAAAGGATTTTGCAGGAGAAAAGTATCTTGTCTTAACAGGAGGGCCTGCCATAGGAAATTCGGAAATGCAGGAGTCCATCTTTCCATTTCTGGTAGTTTCTCAGTTTATTTGGTTAAGTAAGTTACATTCATCTGATATCCTGGAAAGAATTTGGATGATAACAGAGTTTGCAACTCTGGTATTGTTTGCAAGGGAGGTGGGAAGAAGGAAGATTCGCTGGGGGTGGGCAGGGATGTTTGCTCGCCTGGGAGGGGCTGCCAGCCCAGGACCCTTGTTTGGAGAGAAGACCCGCATTCTTGTGGAGAGAGCCCCTCACCATCTGCACACCTTTTTGTGTCCACATCTTGTGTGAGGCCAGAAGTCCGTTTATTGTAATCGGACCAGTAGCTGGATCTGCTTCAACTCACATTTCCTTGCATAACCCATCTTAGGTGTGGCGTTTTTGCCCTGGAAGTTTCCAGTTTTCTCTTGGTGATGTATAGTATCCTGGAAACCTGCCTTTTTAAAAAAAAAAAAAAAAGAAAAGAAAGCTTTAGCCCTGGCTGGTACATCTCAGTGGACTGAGGGCCAGCCCGCAAACTGAAAGGTCCCCAGTTCCACTCCGGGTCAGGGCATGGGCCTGGGTTGCAGGTACTCGGCCAGTTGGGGGTGGACTATGGGCAGCTAATAGATGTTTCACACATTGCTGTTTTGTTTCTCCCTCTCTTCCTCCCCCGTCTCTAAAGATACATAAATAAAACCTCTTTAAAAAGACAAGAGAAGAAAGCTTTAAAAGGGAAATTATTTTCTTTCAAGAAGAAATAAATTTGTCTAGAGTTTGATCATAACCCACTGGGAAAATCATGATGTTTAGCACATACATCCTCTGTCCGACTGTGAACACTCAGTTTGGATAAAATAATGTTTAGATAACGTATTTGGAGGAACAAAGGGGACCAATTTGAGTAGAATTAAATTATCAGGTAAATAGGGCAGGGCTATGACCCCAAACTTGTGAAGATTCATTAAAAGCAAAACTGGAAGTAGGCAGGCGTGCGGAGTAATTCCAGCTAAACAGTTGTGTCAAAACACGGGTTTGGGCAAAGCAGACTCTGTCTTCCGTTTGATTGTCACATGGAGGAATTATTAAGACAAGTGAGGACAATGACTTTCTTATTCAGTCAGCAACATTACCGCATTGCTGTCACCTAGGCATGGCTAGAGAGAGAAGATGACAAGTCTAGGACTTCCAGAAGTGACGGGAATGTCCCCACCTCTGCACTCTTCAACCTGAGACAGATCTGACTGGAGTGCTGGGAGGACTAGAAGGGGCCGCGGTAAGCAGCCTGGGACCGAATTGGCTGAGAAGCTGGATGCCTTTTGAGCGTGTGGAATAAAGAGGGGGCTGACTGAGCTGCTGGCTCTCTCTCCCTCTCTCCTTCCTGGAGGATGCCTGGATGACCGTGCTGCAGCTGCCTGCCTGCCTGCCTGCCTTTCCCAATGGGCAGTATTTTGGATGGGGAGGAACTCCGGGTGCAGCCTGGGATGGAGTTAGCCTGACGGAGGGTGGCAGGGTCATTCTCCTTTGGGTGTTCCAGAGTGGACAGGCTCTGAGGCAGAAGCCTGCCGTTGTCCCCAAATTGTGTAGCTTTTGTATCTGATGTTTTAGCTTGTAAACTAACCCTATAGAAATAAGATAATTAAATACTAACGGGGAAAATAATGGAAGAACTCAGGTGTTAAAAAGTTTCGTCTTAATTAATAGGTTTAAGTGATTAAAGCTGTGACTAAAGAGTTAGAGTTTAGCCTTAATTGATAGGCTTAAGTGACTAGTGCACATGGGAAACTGTTATTCCAAAATTGCGAAGCTTTTGAATAAAGACTCCTTTCCATTTTCACGGAACCTTTGCCCCCTAGAGTTTTGCCCAGAGGGTGACGGCGGGCAGCAGGACCCCGATGGCTGTTCAGTAACAAATCTATTACCCGCCAGCCATTCGTGGCCAGTGAGTCCTTGAACTGTGCCCGGTGCTACTGAGAAATTGAATTTTTAATTTTATTGAATTGTAAACTTAAAGAGCCACGTGAGCTAATAGTGGTTACATGCTGGACAGCCCAGACTTACAGGGACGCAAGGGATACACTCTAAACATATTTTAAGCAAAAGTAATTCAGTTCCTTACGTTAATCCCGGAACATGAGTAGAGTACCTACACTTCCAATTGTGCTTTGCTATGTGGGGAAATACTTAAACATGCACAGATTTTTTAAATGCCCCCCCCAAAAAGGAAAAGTACAGGCACAGAGGAGTACATTCAGGCTCCGTACTCCACTTAACGCCAGTTTCTATGGGAATATTAGCTCACTAGCCTCTGAAATACTGCCAAGGAGAGATCAGCGTTTTTATGCTGCTTTCGTGGACTGAAGATCGAAGATACTACCAAGGCAGAAAATGACGTCACAGTGTCCCTCCCAAGCCACAGGAATTGAGATCAAGCCAGTCCCTCCATCTGTCGGCTTTGGCAGTGAAGCTGAACGCCAGTCACGCCTCACAGCAGTTTCAGGACAGCCCTTAGCATCTCTGCCTCCTCACTGCGGTCCGGGCTGGCCGAGGGGTCGCAGACCCTACGTCCACCCGATGCACCTCCAAAGGTCTGCCTGCGTTCGATTCAGGGTATGGAAGAGGTTGCACAGTCTCCAGGGTTTAACGGGAGGCTCTGCCCCTGCCCAGGTCCCCTTGCATTTGCAAGCCGGAGGTGTGGGTTGCAGGCTCTCGATGTTACGTGTGCCCATTCCGAAGGTGTGATGGATAAATATCAGACAGGTGTGACTCGGTGTGTCTGTATCGGAACCCAAGGGAAAGTAGCCCCGGTCGGGTGCTGACAGTCGTTCTCCAGCTCTCCATGTGCCCGGGACCCCCCTGGCGTGCACACACACACTGACCCCTGCACCCGTCCCGGAGGTCCTGACCCTGGAGACCCGAGAGGCTGTGTGCGGTGGGCACTGTTCGGAACCTCTTACAAAGGACGGCCTGTCTCAGCCCTCGCTTACAGACCAGGAGAGGAATCCTAAACTGCCTCAGGTCCCGGAAGCAGCTTTCGGGTGTTTGGGGAGACTCCGGCTCCTGGCATTTCCCACCTGTGCCTGGTGGGGCGAGGGGTCTGTACTCGGTAGGCCTCCCAGGGTGGACGGAGTCGGCAGAGGCCTTCCCGACTCCCGTGCCCTGCCTCCGGGAGTTTAGGGTACTGCAGGACCCTAAAGACCTACTAGGACTTTGGATCCTGGGGGCAGGAGGGGTTAAGGAGCGCCGTTAATAGGGGGTGGGAAACCGACAACCAAGCAAGCCTTTTAGGGTGTTGCCCTGGAGGCCAGATCACAGCCCACTGTGGGCGAGCTCCATTGCCCAGGGCTGTTATTTTAGAAGGTGTCGGTCATTAACTTTGCAAACATTTTTTATCTCTGATGGTGAGTTTTTTTTTTTTTTTTTGTTCAGGCGTGGGGCCGAGGGCTGTTTTTTGGGTGGCCGTTGTATTCTGGTGACCCCGGCCGGTCGGGTTTGACAATAGAAACGGTGCCATGTGAACATCGTCGCTTTTGCCTGTGTGCCGCCCCCTGCTGTGACCTCAGGGACAGCATGCCCAGGTGCCCGAGAAAGGGTATGTGGGTCCCATCTTTCTGTGACCTGTTGCCAACTGTCCCCTGAGGGGCGGCTGTGGTCCACACTCCCACTCTGG